TACCATATAAACATACATTAGAAAATATTTAATTTCCAATGTTCAAAATGACTTGCTTAAGCATGAATTCAACGGTTTCTCCGTGTCATCTCGTGGATTGTGAAACAGATAGGTATGAAAATCTCTTCGGTGCTTCAAATAATTTAACAATGTACCGTAATACTATACGATTACAAAGATTCAAAGTTTAGATTTGAAACTTTCAACTGGCCTTCGGTAAACCAACTGCTTCAAGGTATCCTTAAACAAAGAAATCCAGATGATTAATGTCCGATGAACGTACAGGCCATGATATTGACCCTCCTCTATAGATACAGTTCTAGCCCAAGGAATTTTGTTTAAAAAAAATTTCAATGCTGTAGAATTTTCTATAGTATCTAAGGAAATTCTTCAGTCAAAAGTGAATGTAGTTTTGACTGATCAGCGCGTCTGGCTTGGAATCGTGTTTCTGCATTCACATTTCATTCGTACACTTTCCATTGCTCATAAATAAAGTAAATTTTAAACGAAACTCCATACTAATTGAAGCGTATGAATAATTTTTTTCCTGGATTCGATTTATGAAGGAATTTCACGCACTGATTAAAAAGTAACCTAAAATGTACTTGATATTGAGCAATACATTTGCGGATCAACACTTTCATACAATTAGTTAACGGTTAATCTGTTTTTAGTAAAGCAATCAAATGGGAGGGAACCTTATGTCGTGAAGATCCTTTTATATATATTTATTTATTCAGCCTCACAGCCATGAATTTGATTTGGTTTACAATAACCTACGTTTTATAATCTTATTCACTCATTTGATTCGTTCTCTCTCTTCTATTCACATTCCCTCGTACTCTACTAACTTATCGCCCTACTTATTACCCATTAATTGTTACCCCTCCCTAATACTTTAATATTCTCTTTGGTGTTCTCAACCACTCTCTCTTTTTTCTTTTCTTTCCTTTTTCAGCTTCTCGAGCCACTCTACAATCTTTCTGTCCTGTCTCCCACTTCGCTACGTCTTCCATCCTAATATCCCTGTCGGTTTCTTTGCAGTCCCTTGTTAAATGTTCCAGATTTCCGAATCTATCACCACACAAATCGCATCTCCTTCTTTCCGCCTCTTCCCAGTACTTGTTCCAGTTTTCTAAATTCCCGCATCTCGCTTGGGCTATTAACTTCTGGTCTCTTCCTTCTTTGCTCAAGTATTCTGGTAGTCCTATAGTTCTGATGTATTTGTACCTGATGTTGTATTTAGAATGTTCTATTTTTGTGTATTGCCTCTGTTGTTGCACTTCTTTGTCTCTTCTCCTTATCCTCTCCGTTACCTCTCTTCCTTCTCTTCTCAACTCGTCCACCTCCGCTTGACTCAATACGTTTCTTATTAAGTACTCCTCTCTCTCTTTTCCGGTTCTAGTTTGTTCTTTATTTGCTTCCTTTTCCGTGAAGATCCTATTAAGTAAAAACAAAAATAATAATCTACTTGAATATTAAGTAATTACTTTGTTGTTGTGAAAAATAATTGTAAAATTAGTATTACATTTACACAGTTACAAAAACACGAGATTTCGTTTACCGGTTCTAGTTTGTTCTTTATTTGCTTCCTTTTCCGCGAAGATCCTTTTAAATAAAAACAAAAATAATAATCTACTTGAATATTAAGTAATTACTTTGTTGCTGTGAAAAATAATTGTAAAATTAGTATTACATTTACACAGTTACAAAAACACGAGATTTCGTTTCATTATCTATGCGAACATTACAGTAAATTCTCCACAAGTGTCAGTCCTCTCCTGACACTTGTAGAGTCAGGGACTACGTTTTCGAGCCTCGCGCCCGCCTTTGTAGTCTGCCGAACGTAGACAAGGACAGCGAATAAAAGATAAGGATGAAACGTGAGTCGGGGCAACCAAGCGATTTAAATACCAACTTTTTCAATTTTACGTTTTTTTATCCCTATTGTCTGGCGTGACAGTGAACGTGTTAATAAGTAAATGTTGTTCAAATTATATCGTGTTTGATATCATTTTCATCAGAAAAATCTCACCAACATGTTAAAAAAAATTTCAGATGAAAAAAGTAAAATTAAAGAAATTATATTTCTCTATTATGAATTGTCGAGCCGTGAAATCTCGTAAAAGAAACCGAGTGGTGTAGCGTTACACGCTTGACGGACAGCGAGCGAGATAACACAGGCGTAGCAATGACGCAGGCCTAGGCGTTAGGACCATCTATACTGACACTTGTAGAATCCAAACTGACTGACACTTGTAGAATCCAAACTGACTGACACTTGTAGAGAATTTACTGTATTTCGATTTGTTTTCTAACTTATTTTAGACAGACAACGATAAGACAAGCAAATATTTACCTATTATTTGACTATTACTACTTTACTTCAATTATTAATCTTTATACAAAGTAGTCAGTATAAATATTTATTAACACTGTTTTACATTCTCATTTTCATTAATTAATTTAGAAAAGTTGGTTTTTGTAATTCTTAGTTATTCTTATTCAAGAAATAACATTATTATTAAATCAGAGATACTATGAAATAACCATCGACTCTAGTTACGGAAAGTAATCATTTTGGATCGGTCAAAACGAGTTACGTTGTTCAATATTTTGAAAAAGCGAACACCTTAAAGATTTGATCTCTGTTATCTTACTCCTATTATATGATATTTTTTCACATTCTTTTCCTTTTGTCCTTCGATCACACTTTGTCATTATATACATAATGTAACTTATAATTTAATGTAATTATTTCTAATAGTTGGTGGAATATATTCATAGGAAATGACCGGTTTACAGGTGCAACTATTGTAAGATTATTATCATTACATTTTTCCGCAGAGAAAAAGGAGTGTAAGAGAAACTTCGTGCAGGTTCACTTTCACGATTGTTTGACACTGATCGTCAAAAGTAAGGTCATTATTTTTTGCGTAATGAGTACTCAAATATACCAACCATTTTATATATTTGCGATTAAACCAACGTACGTTTGTTTATATTTTCAAATAATTCATATAATAATTTGCTTTGTCTGTTAAAATTCGTGTGCTTCATTTTCAGTTCCTTACAGAAATATGTATACAAACGTTTTACATAGTAAATTAGTAATTTTAAAGAAAAACTTAAGTTGTAAAAGTTTCGATAGTTCCTTATTGTTGAATTTACTTTTCGTAGCCGATATTTTCAATTTTGATTCTACTATTATGTACATATATTAAAAGTACATTAATATCTTGCTTATGCAAAGCAATCTTGTACTTGTTTTTATCATTTTTCATATTTACGTGTAATCATGTTTAACATTCTCCTTCCAGAAAATGTACAACTATAAAAATTGACAAATTGAAAAGATTCATTTACAGATAGTTTCGTTAGAAACTTAATTAGAGGGGAAGGTCAATGCATATATTTGTTTTTAATATATATATGTACTTACATTATTTATATTAGTTTTATATGCACTTAATAATATTTTCTGTTCTTTAACATGTTCTTGGCACGGTGGGTAATACAGTCTGGACCGCGTATGCTCCGTCGGTGACAGTGAACATATTAAATGAATTAGCATCTAAATCTCATTTGCCCGAGCTAAACTAAATATATTTATATCATCGAATTATTAATTACGTGTATGAGTTTCAAACTGTCAACAATGTCTTATTTCCTTTATCTATTAAAAATAAGCACTATCATAATAAATTGCTTGCAAATATTTTATATCATGAAATCTATTATAATATTTTTTATATAAATGTTACATTATATAAGTAATATATACAAATTTTTGTATAAGAATATGTGTAATATCATATATTCTTCTAAAAATTAATGGCAAATTACGCGAAAACGATATATAGAATTACAAGTAAGCGTTACGAAGATACACAATTTATCACGTTACAGTTTCCTAGTCCTTTTGTATATAAATTAGTACCGATGAAAGGTTTTATTAAAAACATCGAAGGTGAAACATCTTGTGGGAAAAGTTTCTTAAGAGCGCGTAACTTTCTCTGCATTAGACTGCTTTCCCAGCTCCTTTCCGCCTTCGGACTATACATTCTCAGTCAAGCGGAACGACATAAAAGTCACCTGCGAATTCGTCTTCCGCAATTCTATTGAATCGCGGTACAAGTAGGTTAAATAATTTTATCGGTTTCGCTGTAATCGTACTAGCAAAAGTTTCAAGTATCTTGTAAATGTAAAATATTTTCTTTGTCATTTTCTTGTTTAAAATGAGGTTACATAACCTAAACAATTGTACACGTTTTTAAATAAACTTTTGTTTAAAACTTTTGGTTAAAACTCATTGTTTACACTTTTAACTATCCGACTAAATTTTTGAAATATGTATATATGAAAATGTTTTTATCTGTACATGTAAAACATTCAATTAACATATAATCAAACCTGGGAGTATTGAACTTTGCATACATGCTATTGAAATTAGATTTCTCTACTTTATTCATTTATTATTATTTGCCTAATGTTACTCGAAAAGATATTCTATAATTTATTATTATACTTATACACCTGAAATTATTCAGATTCTGCTCGATAAGATGATTAATATTTTAAGCATTACGCACTTGGAAGAGTGAACTAATTTAGAGGAAAAGAAGCAATGGAAACAATAGCGTGACAATTAAATTTCGTAAACTTTTTTACCGACAGTAACGGTAAATCTTTTTGCGACACTTTCGAAATACTTTTTAACCCTAGAGCGGTCTTCGGGTCTTTTTTGACCCACCGCCGTTTTATATTTTTAGTAATTTTTCCTGTTATCAAGTTTACGTTCCTTAACGTTATTTTAAACGTTTATTGTCTAGGTTCATATGTCGCGTTGGAAACAAAAATTCTTTCACATAAGGTCTCAGATCCTTTTTCACCCAAATGTCTTAAGTGTACAGTCAAAACGAAGAACGCAGTAGGGTTAAGGAAGCTTTGTATCTCCCATTCGAGATCGTGTATGAGACGAGATATGTTAAAACTTAAGAATGGATACCTGTACAATGTTGCGTAGAATAAAGATGATGTTGAAACAAAAATTAATGCAGATATACAAAAGTAGACAGTTATAATAAGGGAGAAAAAGTAATAAAACACATTGTTTCTATTGACTTTGCTATAATTTATTCAAATGTGTAACAAAATGTTTGTTTTTATACTTACGAATCTTAACGAATGAGTTTTTGATAGGTCTTTTAGCGGTTTCCGTGGGCGAGGAGACAATTTCTAACATAGCAGAGAAAGTAAAAACCTCCTCTGACAATGCAGGCGATATTGTCATGTTGGAAATCGATGTCAAGGAACCTGTGAAGAGATCACCGACTTCAGACAGTGCAGAATATGGTATTCCGTCCAATCAATATATTCTTCATCCAGCTGATGGTACACAAGAGGTAGCAATTCATTATTAATAACCACTATTTCTAGTACATTTTGTTCAAAGTGTTCTAGTGTGCGTAACTGAAATAATTTAAATGTTCCATATTTATTTGTTCAACCAGCTATATTATAATATTAAGCATACACGTATTAAATACTTTGAAAAAGATGTATAACAAAAAAATTGTATTTTAACAAAAGTTATTTATACAGTTCAAAATTTTATGGAGGTTATTCCGTGTGAACATTTGAAATAATAGAATATATTTGGAATTTTATAGAATAAAAGCAGCTTGAAATTTTGCACTCGTGTATTCATACTTTTCTCTGTGACATGAGTTTTGTTTAATGCGAGTTCACTTAATAATCGCACAGATATATTTCGTACATGTTGTGAAAACAAGTAACACGATTGTGCTTCTTCCAATTGTTTGAAACAAAAATTCTAGCACACATATAATGGGCAACAACTTTAATTTCAACTGGTATAAGTAAAAGGTGATAAAAATTGAAAAATTGATAGTATTTGAAAAGTAATATTTCTATTTTTCGCTGAAATTTTCAGCTTCGTCCTGAAGAAAAGATACGTCGAAGATGTTATTTCGATGTAAAAAGTTTTATATGTGTACCGTATCTCAAATTTTCGTCCATTAGTAGTTTTTGCAATATTCTGCTGTACAGTTGAAAAAATGTAGTTAATATTTCAATGGCTCTTATTTTATTTATTGTTAACCTTTGCTAACAGCTCTATACAGTAAGGATCTTTATTTTCAAAATGATTAAGTTTTATTGCAAAATTTTGTTTTCTGTCGGATTAGTTGCACAACTTCTATTTCCGTTACAGTCGAAATTTGTAAAATTGTATTAAGTTTGCCGTTGAATATTCAGGTTTGTAATATATTCTTTCGAATCTAGGTTCCTTCGAATTGTCAAACCGTCTGTAATTCGTCTAATTCTTACGCTTATAAAATCCTTTTATCAGGAATATTACAAAGCATTTTTGTAATTATCAGTAAACTAAATATCAAGCATTGCCACCGCATAGATTCACCTGTAGAGAAAATTACTTTGCTGTTGGATGCTGTTTGACTTGCACAGGGAATACAAAGTAGCGAGGCAATGCAACGTCCTTACGATTTTTCAGCGGTAACGCTGTGCGATTCGGCGTATCTACATTTCTCGTAGGGGGATTGCACCCTCGTGTGCATTGTGTCATTAGAAATATAAGCCTGCTGAATCGTACAGTGTCAGACGACATCGGGTGTCTACACTAGACCTTAGAGGAGTAAGTTTCGCGGCAAACTGTTGCACCTTTGTTAGTTTTATGACTTTTAACTATATACTTTTGTAACTGTATGTCTTTGGTGGCGCGAATGATCAGAAAGTATAAGAACAATTTGATCTTTCGAGAGATCTATATGGAGTAATCTCGTTGAAACATGAATTCTAAATAAGTAAGAACGGTTTCTCGCAGATGGCAAAATGTACTAGACCATCCTGACAGGGATGAAAATTATTAAAACTGAACGGTTTACTTCAAACAATTTCCATAATGTTCGATACACTTTTGCCAACGTATAACAGAAGCATTAATTTCGCATACACTGCCGGCCAAAAGTTTGGAATCACTGTGCATTGCAAGTTGCACAGAAATTCCCAGAGAAAAGTCAGCAGCTTTAAGAATTTTTTAACGAAATTTGTATCGTTCAAATCAGTCGATATGAGACAAATTGCTATTTATCTCCGCAATATCAATATCAAATCTGTGAAAAATTTAAAGCAGATTCAGTACTGATGAAAATTTGGAGGTGATTGCAAACTTTTGGCCGGTAGTGTACATAAAAATCCGAATCCCTAAGAGAAACAAATTGCTGAAAGGCTTACAGTTTGGTGGTTTACTTCGGAATTAATTCACCACAGTTTCCTAAGACCGTGTACCACTGTAATTGCAAAAATCATACAGTAACGAATTAGAGGTCGTCCATGAAAAATTGAAAATACAGCAACCAATTCTGATCAGCAGAAAAGGCCTTATCTTTTTACATGACAAGGCCAAATCGTACGTAGCAATTGCAACCGTACAAAAACTTAACCCAACCGATTTTCACATTTTCCGCTCGCTTGACAATTTCCTTGAATAAAAACGGTTTAGGAAACGAGGATATTGAAAATGCTTCTCGGCAGTTTGTTTCCTTCAGAGATCCGGATTTTCATGTATGTATGTACGTGAAATTAATGCTCGAATCTATCGAACGTTATGTAAATTATTTTAAATAAATACGCTCAATTTCAACGGAGTTACGTTTCTTTTTTCTTCAAAACGAACGGCTTAAAACCGCGGGAACTTTCAGGATGACCTAATAGTAAATCGTTTCAAGGATTTCACTCCGCAAACAATGTGTCTATCTTTGTTATTCCGAAAGAATAAATGTTCATGGAAACTGGCAACATCATCGGTCAACCGTGACTATTGCCCGCCAATCACTAACTATCGTAGTGATTGGCTACGTAGTATATAGGCACGAACAGTATATTTTTTTTCTTTTCTACTAGAACAGAGGGTCCGCCTTCACGATCTAGATACTATGTTGCAACAATAATTGCAATCGGTCTAATTTCATTAATGTCTCACCAGTGACTGTCATTGCTATTTCAACAGTATTTTTTAAGAGCTGTGAACAATCGTTCAATTCTCAGACGTATTATTAAAAGCATCGTCATTTTTAAACATTGCAATCTAACCGTATGCTTAAATACATTCTAATAGTTTAGGTAATAATTTAGGTCAAATTTAGTTTACTGTAAATTATTGCCGAAAATGACTTTCCAACATTATTTCGCACCCCTAAATTAAATTGTCAATGCTATATCGAGCGTGACTGGAATCACTCTGTAACAAAAAAGTTAGATTAGTTATATACTAAATAAATATTCGATAATATCGGTTTGCTAGCTGCACCACTACTGTACTGTGAAATATACTTCTGTATTCGTTATCAGGTTTCTTATCAATATGGGTTCTGACATACGTTGCATACAACGTGTATTAGTGAAAACGGAAAGATCACACGAACAGTGATAATCAAACTGGAAATAAAATTAATAATATTGTTATTTCAAGTTTCAAGAAAATTCTGATACAATTTCGGGGTAAAGTACATATTAAAAGAATAAGGGGATGAATCATTGATCTGTAATGTTCGGTGAAGGGGCAGCGGGGAAGGGAAATGGGGGTACTTCTCCTCAACACCTACGCTAACCCGCTCATGATCGTTCCGTCGTGCTAAACGCGATCGTGCTCTGTTGCATAACTTTTACCTTCTAATCGGTTCGACCAGACAAAACCGGTAATACCACACCCAAGGATCGAGAGTATATCCGTCTACTAGTCTAGCGGTTGGTAGGTACATTCTCTATATGGTCTACGGCCTTGTCTGTCGTTGCCGTGATAAAACACATTGAATGAATCTCAAAGTTCATTTATCTCTAAAGATTCACTTATAAAAAATAACATCTTACATTCTTAATTTCTATTTATATCCCAATGACTTTCTCAACTATACGCCATTTTATAAAAATAATGCATCACTTATTGAAGTATTTTTATCAATTTTATTTTATAAACTTTTTTCTATAAAATACATACTGATACAAGAAGTTGGCATTTTCAAATTTATGGAAGAATCAGAACTTGATGCATATTAACAGAAATTTTTGCTGTTCTTGTTACAATTGTAGTTTATTTCATAATATACAGGCTGTTCGGCAACAGTTGGTAGAAAATTTAAGGGGTGATTCGCTTTTCGCTTTTTAGTTACGAATAATTAAAGATATTGCTCTAGCAGAGCAAAACTCCTGACACTAGCCGGTATAGCATAGGGCAGGTCAATACACGGAGAGCGCAGTGATTCTCAAAATAAACGGCACACGACTGGCAGCGTATCTCGTACAAGTCATAGAGAGGAAAACTGTGATATTCGGTGTCGTAAACGATTCTGCCACACTTTATGAGAAAAATCGTAGATTAAACATTAAACTTCGGAAATTCGTAGAAGCATATCAAAGCCAGCCCTATGAGATTTTCGAATGGAGAGAATTAAATATCTTCTCCAGTCCATAAGTCTGCCCGGATAAGTAATTAACAAATGCACACACCGCAATTGTCCACAAAAGTGTCCAAACGAGAATCCACATATGATTATTAGGAACATCTATGAAAAATTCGACAGTTATATCGACAGCACACACTCGCATGCCAAAAACAATGGTTTACCGTACAATGTACAGTAAATTCTCTACAAGTGTCAGTCAGTTTGGATTCTACAAGTGTCCGTATAGATGGCCTTCGCCTAGGCTGCGTCATTGCTGCGCCTGTTATCTCGCTCGCTGTCCGTCAAGCGTGTAACGCTACACCACTCGGTTTCTTTCACGAGATTTCACGGCTCGACAATTCATAATAGAGAAATATAATTTCTTTAATTTTACTTTTTTTCATCTGAAATTGTTTTTAACATGTTGCTGAGATTTTTCTGATGAAAATGAGATCAAACACGACATAATTTGAACAACATTTACTTATTAATTAAATCGCTTGGTTGCCTCGACTCACGTTTCATCCTTATCTTTTATTCGCTGTCCTTGTCTACGTTCGGCAAACTACAAAGGCGGGCGCGAGGCTCGAAAACGTAGTCCCTGACTCTACAAGTGTCAGGTTTAGGTTCCTTGCGGACTGACACTTGTGGAGACATTACTGTATTAAGTATGTACATTTAGAAGAACAAAATTGTTTCAACAACAAAAGCGAAACTTTTAAAAAATTATTCAACGCGATAAGCGGATACATATAACGTTTATTTTAACACGTTTGTTGTCACCGTCGAACCATCTTCGACACGCTGCATCGATCGGTCACCGCCGCGACATTAATAAATGTCGATGTTATCCGCGACGGATGACTATCACCACGAATCCTTCGTTGAACACTGAGACAGTGTGTGTATGTGTGTGCCTGATTAAGACTATAAATCGGTGGCGCATGGTATGTCCCTTACAATTTTCAGATGACAGCGAACGCATAATCTCGTTCTTTTATTACTCAGTTAATTTTTATTTATTAGTGTAGTCTTAATATAGATTTAATTTATTTTTCTTTAGCGTTTCATGCCTGTTCTTACTTTTTATTTTATGCGTGCGCGTATGTGTGAATACAGTAATTTGCGCGCGTGTCATGTGTGTTGCGTGTGACAATTACGGTGTGTACATTTCGTTCGTGAACTGGAGGAGACGTGTAATTCTCTTCATTCGAAAATCCTTTTATAGTGTTCTGTGAGTAAGCAGATGTAATGTTTAATTTAGATCGTTTACGGCGCCGGATGACACATATGCATTTCTTTTCGACGACTTGCAAGAGGTAAGGTGCCGGTCGCATGTCGTTTGTTTTGAGAATCGCTACGTTGCCCCTGAATCGAACTGACCTATCCCGGCTAGCGTCAGGAGTTTTGCTCTTTAATAGTTAACTAAACAACGAATCCTCAAACGCAATTCTTTGATTTTCGTCTTATTCTGGCTTGTAGAAGCACCTCTTAAATTTTCTACCAACTGTTGCCGAACACCTTGTAAAGATAAACGATGTCGATAATCTTATGACTTTTTAATAATGTTGCTAATCATTTGATTTGTCGCTCTCGAGTATAGTTTATAAACTATGAAATAATTGTGCAATAACGTTTTGTGCGAGAAATTGAAAAATGTAATTTAGTAACCGCATAAGCAAATGTATGAATTTTCAGCTGCCACCGGAATATTTATCCGTAATACAACAGTACGCACAGGAAGCGCCACAACCAGCTCCGCAACGCAGAATACAGCCAGCGTATGCGAAACAACAACAAAATTTGCAACAAGCTTACTACAACTATCGGAAACCTTCGGTAGTACCACCTAGGCCTCGTGCTCAACTTCATCCTCAGGCGTTAGCTCAAGCCGAAGCAGTCGCAGAAATCCAAGCTCAAGTGGAGGCTCAAAATCGTGCAGAAGCTGTTCGTACTGCTCGTTTAGGCTCTGATCCACCCAGTCCTTCCGCGTATCAAACATCGTCCTATGCTCAACCAAAATTGGGAACATTCGAACAGGAATTGCTGCAGCTAGTGTCGGCAAATCAAGCCCAAGAATTCAAATTGCTTCCGACTCAACCTAAAGGAAGCACATCTGCTTATTCGCAGCAATTAGTAAATTATCCGGTGCAATATGCGAAGCAAAGTGTAGCAACAGCACAATTACCTGAACAGTATCATATTGAAACATCTCCTCCCCGATATCAACAACAACAGCAACACCAGCCGATACCTTCGTACCAATCGATCGAAGAACCTGTTCAATACGAAGCGATTCAGCCTGCCAAATCATTGAATACTTCACCGCAATACGATTACACCGATGACGATTCGTATCAGAAAGCCATTGAACAGGCTCAAGCTCAAGCTCAAGCTCAAGCGCAAGCTCAAGCCGAAGCTCAAGCTCAGGCTCAAGCCCAAGCTCAAGCGGAAGCACAGGCGTTAGCCTACCAGAAATACTCGCAAGCTGAAATTAAAAAACACACCCATAATGCTTTAGAGATTATAAGGCTTTCAAATGAACGTCATAAACAACAGTCTGCTCTGGAACAAATTCAGCAAGGCTCACAAGTAAGTAACGCTGGACGCTCTCACCTGCAAGAGCAATTCCAGCCGAAAAGTGCTGAAGCTGCTTATAGGGCAAAGTTGAAGGCTCAAGCAGCCGCGGAAAATGCTGAAGCGAGGAAGCTACAGCAAGCGGCAGAATTTAAGGCGCATGCCGATGCTATTCGCAAACTCGAAGCTCAGCAACAAGCTCACCTGAAGATACAGGAACAGGTTCACAATTTTGCCTTAAATTTTAAGGAACATCAGATGCGCGCTCAAGAATTGGCACAAGCTCAAGCCGAAGCTCTTTATAAGAAGCAACTTCAAGCTCGCAATCAGGTTAACAAAGAAATTATAGCGATATCCAAGGGTCAAGTACAGGGAACGAAAGACGGTACCGGGTCATCTGTATATCGGTTTACTCTTTCAACAACTACTCCTCTTCCATTGCTTAATAACTATTTTACCAACGATGAGTTGCAAAAATACCAAGCATCCGGTTCCTCGCATGTCCCTAGATCGGTTCCAAAACTAGACGGTACAAATCCAGCCGTTGAGACGGCACAAGATCACGCGCAACCTATTATCACGCAATCACGTCAAAGTCACAAATTAAAGATCCCTTCGTCTTCTCAGCCACTTTACGTATCTGAATCCGGCTTATTGAAAAAGTCACCTGTTAAATCGATAACTCTCGGTGAAGTAATAGAACCGGATCAGATCAGCAATCGGGCTGTTCAAACGGTGACACCTAAGGGACGTACTTTAACGGAAGAAGATTTGTCAGCATTGATTAACGCAGGCTACACCGTTACTCCTATATCACAAACTGCCAAGCCTATTCAGGCAATATACGCAGCCGAAAATCCATCCGCGGCTTATTACCCGAAGAAACAAAAACTTTCAGTCGCAAGGCCTGAATACGTAACTTACGAAGAAGTCATTCAGCGTCCCCACAAACTTATCAGAAAGAATAGGCCGATCCCGAAACGTGGTGAAAAAGATGACGATGCGAGTGAAAAGATCACTTATCTGGTTCCTCTCGAGCCTGTTTTTGGCACAAGACAGCCTCCGCTCAAACACGAAGAATAATTTCCTTCAATTTGGCTTTTCTTTCTTATCGTTGCATCGAGTTTAAAATAATTACAGCATATAGTCCAAATACTGTTTTTGCAGTTTATCTTTCGTATCCAATTTTACATATTAGTATGTTGCATTGAAATTTCAGCGCTTCTTTAAATCTAGCTCGCCCCTTTCATATTTAAGCTGAAAGCATAATATCGGATTTTCAATCGTTCATTTGTAGTTAAGTACATATTTCGTTGATAACATTTTCGTTGGTGTGCTGAAATATCATACGATCGAAGTCGTTTTTATGAAAAGAAGAAAGATAAAGAAAGTAGAATTTATTGGTTTATAGAAAATTCAACCGAATACTTCTCTTAGAAAGTATAAGAACCAGTATCTTTAGAGCATAGTGGTGATTTATATATTAAATGCAATATGAACAGTTTTTCGCACTCCTCAATCCACGTTTTCTTCCGAATATTCTCTCAAGTTTTATACATGACTTCCAGCTATGTTTAGAAAGAATAAAACACATTGATTGACTAAGCATTCAGACTTAAAAATCGATTTTAATGCGTGAATACATATATATATATATATAGACCATTAGCAGATCAATTTTGTAGCGCAAATGAGTACACAGTAGAATACTCTTTTGCGCAATACCATTTGTAGACAGTACGTGTGACGGTGCTGAGACGAAGAATTCTTAATTTATACTTACTATTTGTATATATTAGATTTTTACTTAATAAAACAATTCAACAATTTTGTTATCATATACGATATGCTTTTCTACATCAAGTGCTCCTATTCTTCCTAAAATAATTCCTAAGTGACCAGAAACTGTAGTAAACGTTAACAGTTTCAAATGATAATTCAAAGTTGTATTATTTTTCTAATAAAACCATTTAATGTTACAAGTATATAACATTTCATATTATGCTTAGATATGTGTGGCAAAATGTATTCTTTTTTACAGTACTTATGTAATTTATATGTACATTATTTACATGCGATAATATATGAATGTAGAAAACACTTTGCATAAGTATTTAGTTGTTAAACTTTGAAAATAACAGTTCGAATAAAAAATATATTCTCCTTTCTCTTCAATTTCATAGGATTTTTTAAAAATTGTGTTTTTTTATCGTATTCTCATTAGATTTATTGTCAGAACCAGCTATCTAGTAATATTTTCCAGTTCTGACGGTCCGAAAAGCATTTCACTATTTTTTATTACAATTATCTTTTATTATAATTAATTACCATGAACAAGAGAAAAAAGTGTGTATGTATTTATCAAAACATGTCGCTGACGATGAAACGAAGCTTTTCGTTTGAATAGATTCGTTCTTTAATCGTTAGAGTGCCACGGGGTATTGCAGAAATCTGACCGAAAAATGCCAAGCGGCGCTATCTTTCATTTGATGTCAAAAAATTCCAAAAATTTTGTTTTGGACATTTTCACTGAATGCGACTGTTTGGAAGTAACACGAAAGAAAAGGCAAAACTGATTATGTGTAGGATTTTTGTTTCAGTTTTTATAAAAAAAATAGACAGTTTATAAGAAATAGAATAAAATTCACACTTCGTGGCCCGATGCGGTGGCACCTTTCGATGTCCAATACCAGCAGTGCGATGGCGCTGCTTGTAACTCAAACGGTTAAAGCCACTTAAATTACACGAAAAGCTTTTCGTATCGTCTACTGTATTTAGAAGAGGTAATTTGTAGGTAGCCTGATTTAGATGGAATATTTTACCCTAAAATTGTCATTACAACTTTGAATGTTGATAACCTAATGTTATTATTCTTACATTATGTTAAGCGCGAGGTTCAGGTGCAGGGAAAAGTAACAAGACGCAGTTGATAACACTAACGCGAACATTTATTGTAACAAAGGGTCCATTAAACGAAATATAAAACGTGCAACGCAGGACTCTCCAAGAACAATTAAATAGTCAACCGAGGCGTTCCACGAGACGCCGCAGACCATCAGGGCGCCCGCGCGTCGGTAATCTAGAGAACTTCCTCTAGTCTCACACATAATTTGTAAACGTACGAACGCATAGAAGTTTTGATAACTCGATATCATTAATTTTCCCTGTTATTAAATACGGTACCTTACGTTGTAATATTTGAATATTCAACGGAATTATCATTAGTAAAGGACTTCCATTATTCTGCAATTGTATGTGATATCTTCTTCAAGAAACGTAAGGAATAATGTCATTTTAATAATAATTAGCTTTAAGGACATATGAAAAAAGTACACGCATAGCTATGTATAAATGCTCTAACGCGTGTCATAATTCAGAGTAATGCCACAAAATTTTAAGTCTCCCTTTTAACGACGATATTCGTTTTGGCGTCTTATCAGAATTTAATTTTCAAACGAACTTCTCCTTTTAAGATTTTTCAAAAACATTGACGTCCGAGTAAAGATAATTACAACACCAATCAGAAGTCAATGAGTTGGCTCTAAAGGCGGCATTTTCAAATTTACAAGCTCCATTTATTTCTTTGTATGTAAAGCGATTAAGATTGTATAAACTTTACAGTATAAAGGAAGGGAATTTGGGAGAATAAATTTCAGCAGTATTATTCACTGTATTGAAAATTAAGAAGCTATAGTCTGGAAGCAAAACTTAGTTCTTGAAGTTGGAAAGCAGAACAACGACACTTCCATTTAAAATTTTGATCAAATGCAAAAACAGTAGGTTAGTATGATAGTAGCGTAAATTGACTTGTGTTGCAGTTTCAATTTAGAATATACAAATTTTAGAACAATTGGTAACTTGTGGGAATTCGTTGAAATATTTATTTTACTTTTAGCAAACTTTGTTTTCATCGTGTATTTACATTGAGTTTAATTTTTTGAAAAGTTTTCTTCATATTTTCTCAATTTGTCGCTCAGAAGGCAGAAAAGAAAACAATATAATAGGTACACATACAATTATAATTAATATAGTAATTAAACATTCTGTACGTAAAATAGGAATGGTCTTTGCTCGAGTTATGTACTGCAGTACTTTCTCTTTCTGGCTGTGACATAATCTTTTGAGCAGTTGGCGCGTTAGAACTCCCCTGCACATTAAAAACTGCACTAGTTTCGTTTGTTATTGCGTACAGTACAGACATGTCAAGAAACTGTTACAACTTTGCTGTACCATTGTTGGTTGTTTTCTTGCCGACAGCGTTTGTTGCCTCTCTGCAGGTAAGTATTATCGACAGTCTTATTCATTAAAGTAGAATATCAATATGCAAGAATAAAATATAAGATAACATAAGAGTTGCATGAGAGAAAATCAAATAGTTGTCTTTCGTTAAGTAAACATGTACGTCTGATCAAAAATTTGAAATATCATATTTCGTAAAGCATTAACTTTTCTAACATTATACCTCATAATTTTATATAAGAAATACTCCGAAGTGTCGACCTACGTGAAAGAAAAGTAGTTATATTGAAGATAAAGTACAATTACACCTATGCACTTGTGAAAAAATCGTGTCATAGGATACTAGAGCCTGTTAAACAGTGCAGAATTTTTCTCTACAATTTCTTCCTAACTTCACTTAGAACAGAGCTGCAGCCGGGTTCACATGCTAGAATCACCTTGTGTAGTCGAAACATTACTAACTGCAGCGAAAAATTTAGGTGACTTGTTTTTTGTCGCTAATGTTAATTCCATTATTAAAAAATTCTTATACGAGAAACATTTATAGAAAGATAATAATGTTCAGCATATCAAACTGTCCTTGAGGTATACCTATAATACATTAGAGTTTGTCAAAATGAATCTGCAAAGTATTGCGAGAATTCCTTACTTTTAAAGTAAAGAACATTGAAATTTTAAGTGAACATTTGCTCAGATGGGTAGTGGTGAAAAATGAAATATGAAAAGTGTGACAAATCTGCTATATAAGTTATTATTATTATTCGTTATGTATATCATCGTTATTGATTAAAAATGATAATTTTTCAATAGAACTAACCAATTGTTACACTAATACGAATGATTGTTACAGAAAAGTGTAAATTTGATTACGATTGCTTTGTATGTCTTCAGCACCCAATCGTTGTTCAAGATTATAATTACAATGGATATTATGATTTCCAACCAACAGCAAAATTTGAGAAACCAATCGTTGTGAAAGCTATCGACAAACCGAAGAATCAGCAAGATTTTAGTAAAATTCCTGGTATTCCGGGCGTAGACTATCCTTTGTATCATACTGTACCCCCGACAACTTTTTCCTGCGCTTACGTTCCATTCGTACCAGGAATGTACGCGAATGTAGAAACCGGTTGTCAGGTAATCTGTTTCATTTTAATTTGATTTATAATTAAGTTTTTCAGATATATAATATGTGAAATGTATTTAAACTGTAGCGAAACGAATAGAAGGATTATTTTTGCTGAAAAATTCTCTTTTTTTCATAGAATGATTCGTTTTCCGAATGACCTCGATTAAATATTCGCGAATCATTGTGTAGGTACAAAGATAATTGCACAACTGAAATACTATTACGAATTACGGGATATACAATCATATGAATAAGAAGTGTTTAACAGCCCACCTAAATATACGTACACTACCGGCCAAAAGTTTGGAATCACTGAGCATTGCAATTTACACAAAAATTTCCAGAAAAAAGTCAGCGACTTTGAGAATTTTTTTATCGTTCGAATCAGTCGATATGAGATAAATTGATAAATGTAGTGTGGCGACCGCCACGGGGCGCCACGCACTTAGGCCTGGCGACTCTTGGCCCTCGAGGCGAAGAATCGAGAGATGTTTTTCCAAACATCTCCGAGTTTCTTCGTCCTCGAGGACAAGAGTATTGCCTCGGCAATGCAGGCCCGCGCCCTCACTTCCTGGGACTTTCCCAGGGAAACTTAAGGGAGCCCCGAAAAAGGCACGAGGCTTTTTTGTCGTAGACTCGCGTCGCCTACACTTCAAAATTAGGTTAAGCGTTATCGGATTCAAATAAATATATTTTTATTAAACAACTTGCGCGAGTAATTACTTTACACCACGTCACTTCTAAAGTAGAATTGAGATAAACTTCAAATCTATAAAATATTAGCAGCAGATTTAATATTGATGAAAAGTGGGAGGTGATTCCAAACTTTTGGCCGGTAGTGTATACAGCCTTGGTCAAATGTATTAGGCACCCTATAAAATACGAATTATTTCCAAATATTTTTTTCTATTAGGAGGAAATCAAGCTATTGAAATGTGAAAACAGTAATTTTTTATTAGTTTTGGCAATATTTTATTTGAACTGCACAACGCGAACATTTGGCAATCACAACAATTTCTTTCTGACTCTTACTCTATTTAAAAAAAAACAAGGATTAAGTTGCAACGATGGTCAGCTCACTCTTTTTTGGCATATTTCGAGGAAAATTTTCAAAATATTAACAGCAATACTAAAGTCAAGCTGACGGATGTTAGCAGCGAGTACTAACAGCAGACTGTGACTTTTAGGAAGAAACACAAAGAGTAGACTATGGATCGCTCAGTTGTTTTATGGCCCACCGTAAACTTTGTCAACTGTTTTTCTGCATAGGCTGACAAAGTACGATGAACAATAGAAAGGATTCAAAGAAATAGTTTTCCCAGTAAGTTGTAATAATAAAGGTGCCTAAAACTTTTAGCCAAGGCTGTACATATAATTTTATTTATAAAAGCGTTAACACTATTAAATATTTGCTGCAACTTTTATACTTTGAATTTTTTATTTTCAAATTAAGTAATTTTAATGTTGAAGTAACGGTAATTTTAATCAGGTCGTAATTGATCTGTATTCTTCAGGGATTCTGAACAATTTATTGCTTTGAAGGATAATGAAGATACGTGTTATTGGGTTACGCAATGTACCCACACGGTAGTCCGGTGAAGTCTTTATTGATACAAGTGTTTGCTCTGGAGGTTCGCGCTTGACTGACCTTCTGTCGTCTCGCTTTTTTCCAACTAACTTTTGTCGCCTTGTTAGCTTTCCTGATTGGCTAACCCGTCGCATCGATGTTAGCCAATCAGGTAATTTCCTTACAAGTCGCTGCTCGTCCCTTGAGCCCTTGGTGCGCTTTTTCCGGGACCGCGGTGCGACTTGGCGGGGGGGTGTATTCCACATTGGGGATTTGGCAACACAGCGGAATTTCTTCCAGGTCAGGTACTCGGAACGTGTCCAGTCGTGGCCTCTGGGCCTCGTACGGCGGACCTTTCGGAAGTCCTTGGTTTATGACGCGGCAATTTACTATTGAGGCCGTTGAAGAAAGTTTCTACGCGGACATGCATTGTCGGATTTCTAAACATTAAATAAACTAAAACGGTTTCCTCAAAAATAGCTGTTCAAGCGCGCACGTCATAAACCGTGCTGGTCGTCTGCAGGCCAAATGCTATTTCCCCGGGTATTGTAGCTGGTCGCTACAGCTTTATTAAGTCAAATAATATACAAAATTCGTAGACAATACAAACAAAATGTTATTGAATTTTTACAGTTAAACAAAATACATACTTGTATCCTTAAATAGAATTTTGTGCGAGTAAGGTTTAATTTAAATTCTCGGTTTATCATACAATAAATATTACTGTTCCATCTGTATAGTTTAAATATTACATTATATCTTCGCCCTCTGATATTTGTTAAATGGCAATTTTCACATACTACGTACAGTGGAGGACAAAAGTATTCATACACCCTATAAAATGGAATAACTTTTTTAAAATTGGGCCAAACGACTTGAGTTTATTTGAGAAGTTAGAAAGATTAGTTTACTAAATGACGTGTAAACAAATTTTTGAAAAAACTGCAATTAGTCGGAATCGCGAAGGTCGTTTTTACAACTTTTTTATCTGAGCTCGTAATGAAAATTTAAAAAATACGTTTTGTAAACCTATGTCAATTATACACACGCTGAAAATTTCATCTGTGATTCTCTCTTTATTCGTTTTTAAACCGGCAGCGATTGTTTCTTGTGGTGTTGCTAGCGTTCTGTCCGGAAGAAGTTTGAAATTTATACCTGTTTCATCTAAATTATAAACTTGTTCAGGGGTAAGATTTCCCTCAAGTATAACATTCAACAATTTTTTAGAAAATTCACTTGCAGCGTTTTGATTTGCTGATAATTTTTCACCACACACACTTAAATAATGGAATCCGTGTCGCTTTTTTCACCGTGAAAGTCATCCCTCGCTGGCTAAGAATTTTTCCTCGTTGTTGATTTTTTCGTGTAATTGAATTGCTTTTTCCGTCTAAATTGGCCCGTTAAGAAGTGCTCCTATTGGTCGTTCTTGCACGTGGGGATTCCTCCTCACAAGTGGCCCTAGACGGGGAGGCGCCTGACCTGTACTCGAATGGGTCTACTCGGACGACCGCGCTGATTGGGCGTATCTCAATCCCACGCCCCAGGGAGGGCCGTGAGGGTAGGCCTCTCGGTAGTAGACCACACGTAAAACACAAACTGATAGTGGTCGTTCTTGCAGAAAACATATCCTTAATGCATCATCAACTATTTCATTTTTCGGTTTTTTCGTTGTGCATGTGCCTGAGAGCACTTTTTCAGATTCTATTTGTACACTGAAGTCTTAAAGAGAATTCCGGTTTTTCCGCCAATCATCCAATCAGTTTTACAGATTCTCCATTATCTAAAACTTTTAATTTCGTTTCAATATTTAACACATTCCGTCTACGCTTATTCATACTCATTCCTATGTATCACTTAATGTTAATGCAATATATGTAATAAAATAAAATATAGTGGAAGTGAATAACGTTTGGAAGAATTCTAATAATAGAAACGCGTGAAAAATATTGTACACATATTGTAGAGCTTCGATGTGACTAACGACGAGTTTAATGTGCAACGGTTGTCGATTGTCTTATGTCGAAGTCCATTATGACTACAGAAAAATCACAAACTGTTTCTACGGAAACCATTGGCAGGTTAAGGCCATGGTTATAGTGGATGCGTATTCGGACGAACTGGCATTCTGATAAACACAATTCGTAGAAACAATCAAATAAGTATACAGATTCTTACGAGTGTATGCGTTGCAGTCTTCAGATGTTTCATTCGTCAGAACGTCAATTCGTCTAAATACGTATTCACTATAACCATAGGCTAATGCGGAGCCGGATAAGAGGGAATCTACTGTATATGAATTGATTTATGAATGGTAATATTGTAAAGGACATATTAATGTTATAGGCATATCATATTTGTCACGATGGTCGTGAAGGTCATCAAGGTGCATCCTTCCTTTGCACTAATGGGACTCTTTTCAATCAACGGGACTTCGGTTGCGATTGGTGGTACAATGTGAATTGTGCTGAAGCCCCAGCTTTGTACAAGTAAATTTTTATACCTACATATATATATTTTAATTTTCGGTTTGCAAATGATTCCACACCCGGCACCGCCCCTTCCCTGGGGACCGCCTGCAGGAGGGGCCGGACCCCCGTCCGACCTCTCGCGGCCCCAGATACCCGGACCGGGGCGTTTCGGCGCCTCGGCCGTGGGGAGGAGTAACTCCTCCCCCACTTCTTATCCGGAGGACCGGCCTAACCCCTCCGCCTCCGAGAGGGATCCAATCACTCCCTCTCTCTTTCGGCGGCCTCCTTCTGTAGCATGACCTGCTCACAGAAGGAGGCTGCTGCGTCCCAGGACTCGGCACTCCACAGCCAACGCAGAACACTCCGCAAGGATGTGTTGCGCCGAGTTCCGGAGGCCTTCCTCACAGTGGTGGCATCCGCCCGTCGCCTCTTTGCCGATCCAGTTCAGGTACTCCCCGAAATAACCGTGTCCGGAGAGCACCTGGGTCACGCGATTCGTGAGTCGTCCTCTGCCACGGTTCAGCCAATCGTCAAGGTTCGGCCGAACCGCCCCCACGGCGCACTGGCCAACCTTATCCTCCAAGTGTGTCTTCCACCTGGCCAGCGCGCCCACCGATATCCTTTCCTTCTTCATCCTCAATTAACTCTTCAGCATTGGCTATTATATGTCGGTTAAAATGTACTCGGAAATGGTCTCAAAAATATAGCAGTAATGTTTTTATCCTATTACTTTCCATTTTTCACTAATTATTCTTCTATTTTCTTGCAATGGTATTATAAGATCTGTCTTTTAACAAGTTCATACAAACAATAATGGCATTTGTAAGTTCTCCTTTAGCTAATATTGTAACTAGTGTATAATAAATACTATTTTTATAATATATACATATACATACATATACAGGTTTAATTGGTAACGATGGAATATCTCATGAGGGATTGAAGTTATAAAAGAAATGTTCTTACAAAAGTTGTTCGGTATATAGGGGGACATCAGATGGTCTAAATAATGTTTCTGTAGGTATAGTAGTAGGGGAGATATCAAAGTCAAGTTAACTTTTTTAAATGGAATCCCGTAATTTTTTATTCATAATATACATTTGTGGAGACGAATTCAACGACCTATAACACCAAGTCCTTCAAGGTCAGCGAAGGTCGTGCAAACATTGAATACAAATATTTGTGTGTTTTTATTATTCGTATTTGTAATTTTAATCATTGAATTATTCCAGCATAATATAATTTTCTTTTATATGTTTTAGGTTAAACTTAGATCCTCTGAAGAATCCTTATATACCAAAAGAAAAGAAGAAGCCTACACCAGAACATATGAGAATCGTTATCCTTTGAAGTTTACAATCTACTGTGTTCAGGACAAACTTCCGAAAAGTGCCTTTTATATTTAAATACTACAACTATGTACAATAATTAGGAAATGCAAAGCGACCTTCAAATAATCTTGAAAATTTTTCATTTACATCATCATAATCTACATAAAAAACAACAACAAAAACGTTCTTACATTTTTTCGCATCATGTGCTTACTATTAGGCAGTTATATCAAACGGCAGAAAGTAGACACCCTGTACAGGGTGTCTGTTTTATCTCAATACAGTGAAATATCTTTTAAGGAAGTGATGTTAGGAAAACAATGTTTTAACAAAAGTTGTTTGGTACGAGGGGGAAAATTATGTAGTATAAATATTTTTTTTGCACCTGATATGATGGAGGAGATTTCAAAGTCAGTTTAATTTTTTTAAATGGAATGCTATATTTTTTTATACATAATATGATAGTGTATGTTAAGACGAGTCCAACGAGGTGCGAACAATGTCATTGACCACCGTTCCTCACTGTCGCGTGTGTCTGTTTTATCAAAGGAAATGACTTTGTTTTTTGAAAATTATGACACCCCGCCGGCGCTCGACGCGGATAACCATAGAGGTTTTAGTGAGTAAGAATCCCACACTATCCCCTAGGAGAGGCGGGGTGTCTTTAGAAGATTTCCCCAATGTAAAAAAAAAAAAGGAAAAAAGAGGATTTGCGTTAGGTATGGACTTGAGTCATTCAAAACCTCACAACTCTTACAATTTATCCAATTTCGAAAAATCGTTGGATACATATTCTCCAGGCTATAAGGAGTGCGAAAGAAAAGAATATTTAGTTATTTGACCCCGAAAACCAGAATGCTCTCTTAAGCACATTAACGTCTTGCATCCAGTTACTTGGGTGATACTTGATTTCGTAGTCGTATCCCTGCAGAAACACGCACCATATACATAGATCCTAGACACACAACATGCTTACCGTTTGCTTCTATTAAATCCTGTCGTCTTTCTGTGTAAAAATAAAACAGACTAAAACAGACTTAGAAACTATTTCGCCCACGCCACTAATTGTAAAAAGTAAGTGTAAAAAGTATTTACATCACATTATGTCCCCCTCCGTATCATGCAAATTTTGCATACAACATTTTTCCATATTATTACAAATAACGAAAATGAGTTAAAATGTGCATGTGTTAATTCTAAATAATAAATTGAGAAATAGTAATCCTACATATGCAATAGTACTCGTTGGTATACGAGTATATTAAAGGTATGATAAGTAAGTATACGCGCATTAAAATTTGTCTAGATCTTATTTAAAATGTTTATACATACAATTGTCATATTTAGCGTAATCCAATAATGGCTATTATATTCATAATATAATGAAGTTTTCTACTTACAATTACGATTTTTTAAACTTCGAACAAAATAAATCAGTAATTTACTATTTATCATTTGCATTGTACTGTATTCCACCACTCACAACGCTTTTTCACTTCACTGAATGCGGTGCCTGACGGACAAAGTGATGAAGTTTTCGACCAACCAGAACAATTGTGAAATACCTAAAAATGAGGAGTCACAGAATTCATAACAGCTGTATACAGTAAACTTACATATGTTCCAGTACAGGTATGTCCAAGATAAGCCTTTCTGACTACTTTACCCACTGTACAGTTACCATACTATGGTACAATGATGTGTGCTACCGTGCGGTTGCATTTTGCGATAGCGAAAATGTGAAAGGGGCACAATGAACATAAGGAGTTCAACAGATGGACATATCTGCTCTAGTACAAAGTTATAAGTATAAAAAGTTTAGAACTTATTATATCTCGAACTACAACTTAAATTCTTGGGTTACACAGTACAGTGAAATATATACTCACTTGACACTTGGTTTTAACATCAGCAAACATGCCCCTCCTACCATTACAAGTGAAACCAGTTTCTGGAATTCTGGTAAGATTTGGGTACCCAAAAATTGTATTATCGGTATTTGATTTAACATTTTGGTACGACGCCATTCTTGATTTTATACCAATATCTTTCAATGCTGGTCTCTGAATTCGAGGATAAAGATTCTGGTTTTTATCTGTAGAATGGGATTCAATGTGTCTCGAAGATCGTTCTTGAAATTTGTTTAGAAATCCTTGATAGTCGGTAATTATCTGAAAATAAAACTAACGTTTTGCTATGTATATTCGTAACATTAAATTCAAATATTGTTTTCTCCTGTTTCTTAAATTGTTCTAAACCAAATTATGAATTTATGAACAACATATTTTTAATCTTCCTGTTTTTGGAAAAAAAAAAGGAATGCAACTAATATTTCATAATGAAAATAATAAGAGTAATGTTTTCGCTTATTACTTGAACTAATAGAGATATTTTAAGTGAGCAGAATTAGCGAGATACCCTGTGTATAAAATATTCGGAACAAATCTTTCACTCGCCTGATTCAAATGTTGTACAAGTCGTTAACATTCTTTACTGTTCACATTCAGTGGTAAAGCATTTCTGAATAACGTTAATATTTCACTTACGCGTTCATAAAGACCCTCATTATATTAAAAATGATTTTCTCAACAAGCTATCGAACAAAGGTACCTTTGTCCTACATCGTTGAGTTTGTCTCAATGTTACCTACAATACCACGTAGAAAATATAATATGGTGCCATTTGAAAAAGCGAAGCAGATCTCGATTTCTTATGAGAAAAAAGTATTTTGCAATTTTTATTTTTGTAATTTGTTGATGATCGGACATCTTCTGTAAGACTACCGGTAGTGTTTCAAAAATCATGGCGACCATTACGCTGAACAGAATATACAGTACAGTTTGAAGCAGTTGAAGAAAAAGTGAAGTGAAAGAATTTCTATAATGGTAGGTTTTCGCTTTGCCATTCAAAACTTAACGGCAAAAATGTGAGAATGATGGGATATGTTTATAACGAATGGACAGGATAGAATGTTTATATCGAAGCGATAGTTGCGTGAACGAAGAATGCTTGAGCTACAGAGATGAAGGTGTGAAAGAAGAGTGCTTGAGCTAGAGGAGAGATAGAGGTGTGGCAGAAGAGTGTTGGGAACGAGTACTTGAGAATATCATATGAACGGACAATGCGTGGTCACCCAAAATGCTTGGTGGACGTGACTGAATTTTTTCGAAGAATGTCTGCCCTGTCGAATCCTCGTCCCTTTGTCCCTTGACTCCCATGCATACAGATCCTTATCCCAGGTACCGTTTTGACAACTACCTGCGCGTTTTCCACTTTCCCACCTAATTCCTGTCCTATCTCCGGCAGACCTTCAAACTGATACACTCTACCCATTTCTTTTGCACCGAATCCTTAAGTTCATTACCTAACCATTGTCCCTGCAATTCTTCTCCCGTACCATCGAACCCTCAGTCCTAACGAGTCCTGATCTTTATCCTTACACATTCCTGGTCCTTACCTAACGGACGCATTCCTAAATTCCCCCACCCGCAACTCCCAAAAACCCCAATATAAAGGCAGCCTCGAAAAAGAACAAAATTCAGTCAGCATTGAATAACAAGGCAGTTTAGACCGGCAGGGACAAGGCAGAGTAGATGTCAAACGAAGAACAATAATTTTTCGAAGTAAGACTGCTAACGATAAAATTCTTCGTTTAAATCAGGATTATAAACGCGTAAAATTATTAAAGGAAAGAACACGATTGTAACTTTATTGGAAAGTGAATAGAAGAAATCTCTGTGGTCGATTATCTCTCGATATAATGACCGCTATTATTTACCTGGAGACCCCCAACTGGGAACCCATTTGACTTCGCACAAAATTGAATTAACTGAAAGTAAGGTCGTAAATCAAAAACAATACAGGTATCCACCAATGCACCAGGAAGAGGTAATCAGGTAGGAGAAATGCTAGAAAAGGGAATAATACAATCATGGAGTTCACCTTAGAACTCTCCACTACGGGTAGTTCCCAAGAAGGAAGAAGCTTCGGGAAAAAAGAAATGGAGAATCGTCATAAACTTTGACAAGACAAGAAGCATATCCACTTTCTAACATTAACGAGATACTGGATCAATTGGGAAGAGCACGATATTTTTCAGCTTTCGATCTAGCCTCCGGGTTCCACCGAGTCCCTTTAGAAAAATCATCGCAAGAAGAAACCGCATTTTCAACTAACAGCGGACATTACGAATTCTTGCGCATGCCTTTTGGACTCAAGAACGGCACCCACCACCTTCCAAAGATTAATGGACAACGTGTTACGAGGATTAATAGAACGGATATGTTTTATTTACTTAGACAACGTCATAGTTTATGGCGAGACATTAGAAGAGCACAATCAAAATCTCATTGAACTTTTTGATGGATTTCGACAATACAATTTAAAATTAGAACCTGACAAGTGCAATTACTTAAAACCGAAACTTCAATACTTAGAGCACATTATAGCTGAAAACGGAGTAAAACCCAACCTAGGAAAGGTAAAAGCTGTTCAAAATTTTCCCGAACCAAAAACCTCCAAACAAGTAAAACAGTTCCTGAGATTAGCAGAATACTACCGCAAATTTATAAAAGGACTTTCTACAATAGCGTTGCAACTTAATTTACACCTAGCCAAGAATACACCATTCGAATTTAGCTCTAGTCAACGTGAATCCTTTCAAAAGCTAAAGAAAGCACTGTGTGACGAACCTGTCCTCCTTCAATTTCCAAATTTCGAAAAACAACTTACACTGACAACAGATGCCTGAAACGAAGCAATATGCCAGTCGAATTTTAAACTCTGCCGAACGTAATTACTCCACAACCGAAAAGGAACTCCTCGCAATAGTATAGGCCGTTAAACATTATCGAGCCGGTAAAAAGTTTAATATAATCACTGACCATAAACCACTGGAATGGCTACATAAAAATAAGGATCCATCTTCGCGCTTAATGCGATGGCGAATTGCATTAGAGGAATTCGAGTACGACATAAAATATAAAAGGGGCACATGT